GGGGGGGGGGGGGGGGTGAAAAACTGAAAAGTACCTCAAAAAGTTTCCCCCTCGATATGAGGAAGGACGCCACAAACCGCAAATCGATATCATAATTAGAACTAAAGTTATGGCCAGTGGTGCATAACTTTTGAATAACCCTGTATGTATGAAATGCAAGGTAGGAGGAAAAGCCATTTTAATCACAAGGATAATCTATCAATCAAAATAAAATAAAATTGGACTTGGTATTTATTTTTAAAATTTTTTACACTCACTTCATTAATCTCCTTTTTTTCTTTACTCTAGCTCCCAAAAGAAAACGAAATTTTTCTACAAAAACTCAGAGAGGAAGCCAGAGCATTTTCGCTTCAGAGACGCAGCTTTGGGCTTCTTGATAATAATGATTTAAAGGTGAGATAATTTGTTTCTGTCAGCGCATGTAATTCACCTTAATGAACAAAAAGGATCTCATTCAAATACTGTGGGTTATATTATGATTCATTTACCATCACTTAACTGATAGTGAACCTTACCAGCAAAAACTGAAAGAGGTACAGTTACCCTCCATATATCCAGATAAAAGGAAATGAGGAAGGAGTTTGAATCACGCAGTATTCAAATTGACGATAGCTCAAATCAAAATGGGTTAGTGTTGAAAGAATTTGGAGCGAGGAGGAAATTTCATTGAGAGTAAAACAATGAAATGGAAAGATAAATATATTCATTTCATTACACAGAAGACTTCAATGAAGTATTCGTAATATATTAATATAATTATAATAATATACAATTTAAATTACTTTTAATAACATATAAATAGAGTTCTGAAAGTGTTTAATTAGTACGTATCTTTTTCAGGCTCTGTGGGCTCTCCTAGACAAATATCATTCGCCACCAATTGTGAGTGAGGAGCAGTTCATAAATTATGATGATTTCAAAAAGGTGGCTGCCCATGCTGATCCAAAATGCAGGTTTGTCCTATCAACTTTGAATGAAAAGTTGTTACTTAAGAAGAAAAAATTAAAAATCCCTTCTTTTCCCATGACTCTCTTGTAGGCATTCAAACTGGGAATATGAGTAATGTGTGATAAATTTTTATTTTAACATTTTTCTTATTTTTTTATTTTTAGGTATTTATTTATTTTTTAAATTTTCCCTAAGAGAGCAAGGGCAAGGAATTTTTGCAGGGTTGTAAAACAGTCAGCGGTACGTCAAATTTTATGAAGTGATCAAAAAGCTCATTAAAAAGTTGAATGATTTATTTTTGAGGGGAGAAAAAGCTAATCAAAATCAGACAGTCAGGTTGACGAAGCAAGGTGATATCTGAAGATGAGTTCAGCCAATTAGCAAACGCTGTTTCTCCTGCCTACCTATTTCATCAGCCTCTGCCTAAAATATCAAAATAGCCTAAATATTCAAACAGATCCTATCTTTGGCATTTTCAAAACGAGGTTTCTTCGCCGTTTTGGATTCCAAGAAATCTGAAAAAATTCACAGAGTCTTAGTTCACCTCGTACTTTCAGAAAATGAATGAATAAAAATGAATACAATTGACCCATTTAATGGACACTCCTCTTTTCTTTGACATCGATAACTCTGTTTTGAATTGGATGGTCACATTGGAGATTAGGAAAAACAAGGCTAAATTTATACTGAATGTCTGAATTTCTCCTCTCTGAATGTTGACAGAAAATATTTCACTCCAAGTGTGTTCGCCAAGCTGCAACATGGAGACATCTACGGTCGTGTGAGCATCATGGCTCTTTTCAACTACATCATGCGCAAAGTCTGGCTTCATCAGACGCGCATTGGACTTTCTCTCTACGATGTTACCGGACAGGGATTTCTCAGGGAAGTTGTAAGTCTGATGTTATCTCTTTAAAACTATAAGCTCTTTTTGGGCGCTTTAACATGTTTCTCTAGATGTTTAGACGAAAACTGTCCAAACACTGATTCAGGTCAGCATCCCAATTTTTTCACGTCAATAACGGCATCGGTCAGTCACTGAAAAAATATTTATCAATCGAAAACCTGAAGTTGTGGTGATTGTTTTGTCTCATTTATCGCTGATGTGACCCATGTGTTGTTGCTGTCATGGGGTAAAAAAAGTATGAAGTAATCAACAACAAATTGCTGTTAAAAAGTAATCAACAAATCACAGAGTATCAACAAGTCTCTCCGAAGTCTTTCTAAAAGTTTCATCATGAAAATTTCAAGGAATTCTTGTTAAATCATGAAAAAACTCACCAAAATCTTTTGGAGAAACTTTGTAATGGTTCTTGAGTCCATGAATAAATTTTTAAGCAAAACTTTACGGCATCACAATGAAATTCAGCCTTTCGTGCTCTTACTGCTTCATTATTTGTTTGTTATCTTTTGTCACAATTTTTTGTTTGTTAAATGTTTTATCCTCTCATTTCACAGGATTTAGAAAACTATATTTTAGAGTTGATACCCACACTACCTCAGTTAGACGGCCTGGAGAAATCGTTCCACAGTTTTTATGTTTGCACCGCAGTAAGGAAGTTTATATTCTTTCTAGATCCCTTACGCACAGGGAAGGTTCGCATTCAGGATATCTTGGCTTGTAGTTTTCTGGACGATCTACTGGAGGTATTGGCTATTTTCTTTTGCATCGTCCTATCAAAGTTTTTTTTTTTTTTTTTTTTCATCTTTTTTATTTTTTACAACAAGTTGTCAAGATTAATTATCATCATATCTATCTATTATAAATCAATGAAATATTTATTTATCAATAGGAAACTTTTTGCCACGAGCATGTTGCTAGTTTCCAGCAACATCATTCTTGGTCAAGTTTCAGCAGATCATCTTGTTTTAGTTTTACGCGTTGCCACCACTTCAGTGTAATGTATATTTTAGCAACTACAATATTTTTTTGGAAAAAGAAAAATATTAGTCAGTAGATTTCTCATGAAGAATTATTCATACCAAGTATTAACCTATAATTTATCATATCAACCTAAACTTTCAATCACTTAGAGCTTCACCAGGCAAAATTAGAAGAAAAATACCACAACATTTTAATATAATTTGAAGAAACCAAAGTCAATATCCTCTTTAATAAGAAGTAAACAAAAAATGTACAGTGTTTTGGCAAAAAAAAAATTCCCTCAGATCAATTCCTCTAAAGTCTAACGATATTTATCTTCTGAAAATTTCTGATATTATTTCTGGATCTCAAAAGTAACATTTCTCATTTCCAATGTATTGATATCAATGTTTAATTATAATCAGAATTTTTTACTTTATCCTAAGATTTGGAACGATGATTTTTGTAGAGTTTCTACAAGCCATACAAAGGGAGAAAATACAATATTGCTGTAATTACATTTAAGGCATTTAATCGACTACTAAAGAAGGAAAAATTCAATTTTCTAGAGATGCGGATCCGCACCAAAAGTTTATGCAGAATATTTTGAACATATGAAACGCTTCCAGAACTTACTCATGAGTAAAATATTAATGTCTGTTTTTCACGCTAGAATTTGTGGTGTCCTTGTGTCTGTTTCAAAATTTGTTTGAATTTTAGAACTGTATTTAGTATGGCTTTTAAAATGTTCTATGTTTTTGCAATTTTTCTAGTTGAGAGATGAAGACCTGCCAAAAGATTCCTTAGAAGCAAATTGGTTTTCAGCGACCTCTGCCTTGCGTGTGTATGGACAGTATCTCAATTTAGACAAGGACCATAATGGGATGTTGAGCAAGGAAGAACTTGCTGGGTACAAGCTTTTTTTAATTTAGCTTATTTTGTTGGATGTTCTTCTGAAAAGCAGTTGTAGTCCAGTCGTCGTCCCAAAATGCCCTATGCTTTTGAATGTTTCTTTAAGTTTTCGACATTCCAAAATTTTTTATTGTTTTTACAACGTGTCATCATCAGGTGAACTGTTTTCCTTTCATCGTGTTTGATGGAGCTTTGTTCACTCGCGTTTAATGCAGCAATATCAACAGTTTTTATCTAATGTGTTTTTTCACAAATGTCACCAATTTTTAAAAATCTGATTCAATTTTTTTCATCGACTGTGGACAATGGACAGACCTGTGCAACATGGAGTGTACAAAAATTTAAAGGATTGACATTTATAAGGAGACAAGTACTAATGGAATTTGTTTTCTGGGTCTTGATCACGATTTTGTGTAACTCAGAAACGCCTCAAATTGTGGTGTAGAGAAGAAGAAGAGGGCATTCACTCGCTTACAGATGAGGGGAGAGTGTCAAATTTTACTGTTAGAGCCTCAATTTACTCCGGCAACAGCTCTGATAATGGCCCATTGAATGAATTTTTAATTACTTCTGAAACTTATTGCCCAAGAAGTAGGGCACTATTCTTACAGACTCCCAAAATAAGTTAAAAAATTGATTCCTGTATATTTGTGTTTTGAAAAATATAGGTACGGAACAGGGACGCTAACGTCGATTTTCATTGACCGCGTTTTCCAAGAGTGCTTGACGTACGATGGTGAGATGGACTACAAGACTTACCTAGATTTTGTCCTCGCTTTGGAGAATCGACAAGAGCCACAGGCACTACAGTATCTTTTCAGGATCCTTGATATCAACAATCAAGGGTATTTGGATACCTTCTGCCTCAATTATTTTTTCAGGGTGAGTTGTACATTTTTTGCATCCAAATTGCACAGAATTTTTTTCAAGACAAAAACCAAAAAACAAGAGATATTGACTTAGACTAGAGAAGAATTTGTTGAAAGTAATATTTTTCCATGAGCCTTTGCGTAAAAGACTTTCATTGAGTCAAATACCGTCACTCTGAATGAATAAAATTAAACATGTATGTATGAGCCGCTTTTACGGCGCGCTTGGGCGCTCTGTGACGCCTATTCTCCACAGGAATCTGTCATGGTAGAGATCCTCCGGAAGCTGGCATCTCTCCATCTCTTCATGGATGCCCTCTACCCACCGTTTGGCTGGACGCCCTCTCCGTCGCCTACCTGGGGGGACCCACTCCAACACCTTCTTCGGCAACCTGGTATCAGCCATTCTCTGCACTTGCCCATACCATACCAATTGCTTGGTCATGATATCGTGCACAATCGTCCCCTCAACGCCCATTATCTCTCGGACACGTTCATTCCTGACACGTTCTCTCCTCGAGATTCCAGCCGATCTTCGCCAGAAATCCATCTCGGTCGCCTTGAGCATTTCTTGGGTCCGCTTCTTCAACTGCCACACTTCACTGCCATAGGTGATAATAGGCTTGACAACCGAGTTATAAATTCTCTTCTTGTTGTCTTTGGAAATCCTTTGGTCCCAAAGGATCCCATTAAGCATGGCAATGGCTTTTATTCCATTATCACCGAGGCTATCTTTATTAGGCTTTTTAACATTAAGTTTTTTCCGGGTATCGGGGAGTTAGCCCGATGCCCCAACCCCCAACCTGGAGGACCAGGGTTTGATTTTGGAGTACTGTCTCCTAGACAGGCTGCTTTCACCACAGCTATGAGCCCTGTCTGCCCCTCTGATGAGTGGTTCCTACGCCATGAAGCCGGTGACCATCTCCACCCCCCTTCGAGGCAGGGGCTACTAGCTGGGGTCCGCAGGATTGCATGAAATTAAACATCAAGGCCAAATATAATTTAGATTTTAGACAAGAGAATACATTTCTTTAGATAAGCTCCAAACTATCCTGAACTGTATAGTTTAAAAATCCAATTGGTTTCCTTCGCTAGAGGGTGCCTAAATTACAGAAGATGAGAAAAAAAATGAAAAGATATACAAAATCAAAGAACAAAATGAAACAAAGCTCTCTCTTAGGATGGACTTTTGGAACAGAAAAAAATGACCCTACAAATCTGTATGCACATTGTAGAATAGCGGAAAATCTCTGCAAATGAATTTTTATTGATTTTCAAGAAATACTGGTTGTCAAAAATTTGACTGAGTGATGAGCTGACTGGATAAAATTTTAAGAAGTTTTGCAGGAAGTTGAGAGGAAATGTGTAGCAAGTTAACCACTGAATCATTTTTTCTTCCTTTTTCTGAAATTATAATTTATTGTTCCACTCAATGATAGAATCTCAATGCTAATAAATTTATCCTCCACGGAACAATGAAACCGAATCAATATCAGTTTAAAAATTTTGTGTAAAACATATCAACTGCCCACTTCAAAAACAGTAATAAAAACTCTTAAAAATTCATTTCAAGTAAACTCGTTCAATGCTTGATCTCTGGAAGAAGGAGACCGTCTCTTTGATACAAATTTGTACTCTAATTCCAATACCTCAGGGGGCTAAATTTTGAAATCAATAGACAAAGCAATGGGCAAAGGGATTGCCTTTGTCTTCTTTGTGTATCGATTTCAATGATCAGCCGGCAAATCGATAGACAAAGCAATGGACAAAGGTATTGCCCTTTGTCTTCTTTGTCTATCGATTTCAATGATGAGCCGGCAGAGCAAGTCGAGAAGACAACCTCATAATGTTTAGAATCTTTTGGCTTTAGGCAATTCAACAGCAAATGAATGAACACAAACAAGACCCTGTATCATTTCAAGACGTCAAGGACGAAATTTTCGACATGACAAAACCGGCTGACCCTACAAAAATAACACTTCAAGATCTCTTGAATAGGTTTGTGATATTTTGTCTTTTTTTTATACATACCCTCTGCGAAACTTCCTTTCACTGTCTGTTTTAAACGGCAGAATCTGCTTCTTTTCAAAGTTATGAAAAAAGGAACTCTAATCTTTCACCATAATATCGAAAGATATTTCAATGTTTTTTGATATATTAGAGATGATTTTTTTTAATGAAAATGTTCCTGTCCAACGGGAAAGGGATATTTTCTACACAGGCAATATTTTCCATTGAGCAGTTGATCTCCAGGTGGGTCAAAAAATCAGATTTTGAGATTGCGATGGGAAACTTTTTTAAGTGGCCTGAAAAAACTGTTATGAGCAGTTTAGACCATTTTTGTATTGAAATATTGTTCACAATTGGAATGTAATGCAACAATATTGTACCATAAATATGGGAATCAGAATTTTAAGTTGCCCTTTCTGGAAACTATGCTCTGTGGACTGTACACTTCAAACTGCTCCAGCGCTTTGATGTCATTGTGTGCTTTTGTCCCAAAACGTTTTTAGTTCACTCTGCTATTCTTTGGTATCAAAAACTTGATTTTGAATTTTCAAGGACACTTTGATAACAGTCGTAAAGGAATAATCTTCTCAAAGTCTCTAGTCCCCTCCAAAATAGTATGTAAATAGTCTTAAAATACTTTTGTGGACTATAAATATTCTTTTTTGTCTCCTCTTTTCACTAAAAATTGACGACCTCAGCAGTCAGCAGTGAAGATTCCCTCTGACTTCCTTGATTTTATGTAGCTTTCTTTTTCCAAGCTTCCCTCCTTTACGTTTAGTTCTTTTTTAGTTTTTGCCACAATGATGTATTTTTTCTTCCTTCCATCTTTTTATTGAGTTGCCAAATAATTTCAATGATAGAAAAATTGATTCTCTCAACAGTGGACAAGGCGAAACGCTTGTAAGCATCCTCATCGACCTGAATGGTTTCTGGACTTACGAAAACCGAGAAGTCATGGTTTCAGAAACGGTGGAGGAGTCAGCCAAAGTCTAAACTTATTTCCTGTGATCTTTGTTTTATGTAAGTAAATTTTAATTATGAGTAAAACCTGTTCAGTAGATACACATGATCTCATTTTGTATAGTTACAAGTTAAGGTATTTCAATAAAGTAGCAAATATTCTTCAAAAAATTCAAGCCTCTTTTTTCTTATTTCCATTTATTGCAACAAGCTCGTTCTAACTTATTCTACTTGTGAAGTTCATAGAAAAAGTTCTGAGCTAGGCTGGTTTGTTTGATTTCATCGCAGTGTTACTAAGGCTCACCTATCAATGTTTTCTTCTTTCACTATTAGGTTTGAGTCTCAACTGAGAAATTGTCTGCGATTTTAATTAAATCATGTAGGAAATTCACACAAATCTCTCTAGGACAAAGATTCCTCATGGTGAATTCTATAGCTAGTAAATTTTTTGTGCTCTCAGTTCATTATTCAAGCAGTTTAATCAAAGATTTGATTGATCACCCAGTCAGAAAGTGAGAATGACTGGACCTGTATATTTATTCTGTCGAGATCTGCATAATTTTAAATTATGCGTTTTAAAAAATTTTTAAGGGATTTTCCAAAACTGTTTGTAAACAAGAAAAATTTGTCTTGCCTTTAAGGTCGATTCGATATATTTATGCTGAAAGAAACTATGTTACATGCAAATCCCTTCACATACAGTTCCTTTCAGCTGCAAGACGTCCAATTGAGGGCAATGAGGAATTGGGTGGGTAAGGACTAAAGAGCACCTCTCGGTTGCAAATTTCCTTCATTTACAACGAACGCAATTTTCGTTACATGTAGAGTACCTTTATAGACAGAGTGTGGCCATTTCTGTTCCGGTTTTTCATTGGTCGCGAACGAATAGGCTGACACGATGCTCTTAGGGCCGTAAATAAACAAACAAGATGGCTGTTATCAGCAAGCAAGATTGAGATTATGCACATCTTGCATCCTCCTGTGATAAAGGTGAAAGGCGATTTAACAATGTTTTCGTGATTGCGAGTGTGTGTGTGTCCCTTTGACGAGCCGCGGGTTGCCGCATCTGATCAATGAGTGGGAGAGA